TTAATCTTTCAGGCTTTTGATTAATTGCTAGGAACACTAATTATTGATCAGCTAGAAGAGCAGAAAAACTAGGTTAAGATGGTTCATATGCTACCAGGCTGTGACAGAGCAAGAATGCACATGGATTACTCCTAAACAATGGCTCGTTCCCAGCATTGCTAATGAAAAATAATACACAAGAGATGATGGAGATATCTGTGTTTCGCTTCAATTTCCACCACCGCTACTTCTCCCCTACAGGAAGGGGTGGGTTAGGCCTAATGCAGGTCTACATATAAAGTCTGAAAGAATCATCAGTGATTAATATTCCAGATCCAAACATGGCAGCATAGATGGGAGCATTTCAAAAAAGAATAATGAAAATAAAACTTGAGGTTAATAATAATTCAGCAAATGCTTATCAAGTGTACACTTGATTTTGGGAAAGAATTAAAGAAGGTGAGGTCATGGGTTTGTGTAGCTCACAGTGTGCTGAGAAAGCCAAATGTGAGAAAAATTTTTTTCAGTAAATTGTAGATAAATATTCACAAAAGTGAGCACACAGTTTCAGAAGTGCCTGAAATTTTTGCTTAGCTTCAGGTTTGATAGTTTTCTTGATTGTATATAGTGGACACAAACTCTAGAGTTAAAACTGTATCAGTCTCTATCTAATCCCTATTCCTGGAGTCATACAACCAGATTCCCAAGGGAGATCGGATCTTCACTTGTTAGAGACCCTTCAATATCTCAATATTCTTTATATTTATTACCCTAGTGAGGAGTTCTGTGTTAATTAATTCTTGATTTCATTCAACAATATTTATTTGGCACTTAGAGCTGTACCAGGTGCCAGAAAATAACAGTGACTAAGAGACAGTCCCTGACCTCAAGTTGCTCACAGTCTGGAACAGTTGAATGGAAATCAGAAAGCAGGTAGGCACTTAAACTGCAAGATAATAAGCAGTGTCCTAGAACTATGCAGACAGTGGAATGAGAACATGTGAAAGAACACTTACGTCAATCGACAAGAAGAAGGAATACCTGCTTAGGCTTTTTTGAATGAAGTTTCTTAGATAAAGCAGGTATATTTTCAAGAAAAGGCATTCCATGGAGATAATTTGCTGCGCAGTGACATGGAGGTGTAAAGGCATGGCGTGTGCCAACATGCAAGCTTGCCTTGTAAATGAACACAAAAGTAGAAAGGCACAGAAAGCACATAATGGTAATCAAGGCCACCCCGATCCTTGTCTTCAGGGAGCCCCAGAAAGTATTATGTAAGTCAGTGGAATAATCAGATTTTTAAAAGAAGAAATAGCACTTAACAACAGCAGTCAAGACTGAAATCAGGGATAACAAAATACTGCCATAGCTATCCAAGTGAGATGTAAAAGAACCCATACTACGGCTGTGTGGCAGAAAAGATTGGCATGGGGGTGCTAGCTTGTCTCCAGCCTTGATTGGGTGTGCATAGTTATCAGAAGGGGAACCTAGATGCAGGCCTTGATTCCAGTGTTTGTTAGGGTAAGTAGGGGTGTCATTCAACAAGGCCAACAACGTGGAGGGAAGATAACGATTTCAACTTTTTGCTTTTAGATTACTGAGGTACGTGTGAGAGGTACAGAAGGTGATCCAAAGATAAAGACAAGAGACACACATTGGAGAATTATCAGCATATAGGAAACAAATTAAGTCCTATATGAAGACACACAGGAGTAACTGGCAAATAAACAGGAAAGGCAGTTTGAGGCCATGAGGTAAAAGACTGAATGATTTCAGAAGGCTTTGCAACGTGAGACTGCTTTTTCTAAGGCGATTGTCCTGGTCAGACTTCAATTAGAGCCATTAAGTTAACATTTGAGAAACATGTTCTGTCTAGACACAGGACAGTAGTGAACCAAACAAGCAAGGTTTGTCTTTTCCTGTAAGCAACTTATTAATAACAGCAGAGAATATCATGCATTTAATTATTTTCCACCACAATAAGTGGAATAAAAGGAAAGTATCTGAGAGTACATTAAATTGACCTGTGTGGTCAGAAGCAGCCTTAAAGAAGTGACAGGTCAGCTGAACCTCAGTGACAAGGGAAGGGATATAAAGAGCACTTAGTTAGGGGAGACGATTTGAGGACATGGAGGTGCTCTTGTGGCCTAAGGAAGCCAGGGACTGGGTGCTTGAAGTGAGGTGATAATGGAACAGACTGTGTCTTTATGAGTTTTGAGGCAGCTGTGCTTCCTACCTGTAGGCAGCTCTCTCAAGAGCCTGGCATGTGAAGCCAGTGCTGCTCTGCAAGAGAGCATCTTCATGAGCAGCAAGATCCTCCAAGGGGCAGTTCTGTCTTTCTTTATCAGCCATCTAGCCTCAGATCCTGCTATAAGGGCAGTTATTGACAGTGAGGTGATTTTGTGCACAGTGAAGACAGTGAGAGTTTCCTGGATTTGGAAAGGGGCTGAAAAGAGAAACAAAGAGTGGTTGAGCAGCCAAGAAATCAATCTGTTTCGGTCAAAACAGCTCACCTGGGAGTCTAACATTTGCGTTCAGCAGGAGCGGCCGAACATGCCTCTTTAGAACTCAGTAAGTCTAGGAAACAACTCAACAGCCAAAATCCGGCCTTGGCATACATTGGCCCTGAGTGGTTCCTTTGTGAGCACAACAAACCAACTGGGAAAATAACCTTGGAAGAAAACTTGATTGATTTTTCAAAGAAAGAAAGAACTATGAAAATTTATCTAAAGTCTATTAAAGCTATTTTAGACAGCTTGTAAAAGAAACTAGATTGTGATTCCATTCTGAATACACTTCTCTGCATTTTTTATCTCCTTTATTGTTCTTGTCAGATTGCTTTATTAAGTGGAAAGTGGTTAATCAGGTGCTTTGATTCATTGTTGTTTCTCACTTGTTGGTGATGAGTGCATTTTTATATTCCTTCTACCCACCAAATACATATTTTGAAATAATAAACTGTCTTGCATACTGTAATGATTTAAAGATTAAATGTAGATTTACCAAGTTTTGTGGCTAACAGAAAATTGGGAAAAGCCAAAACTTTAATACCTAGCTTTAGCATTTATTAACTATAGAATTGTTAAGCTTCTATATTCTCATCTGAAAATGGGGAAAAATAAATCTACTTCACTTACTGAACCATATGTTTTAGAAAGTGAATGAGTACGCCTGTAATCTCAGCACTCAGGAGGCTGAGTCAGGAGGATCGAGGCCAGTGAATTCAAGGCCAGCCTGAACTCTATAGGGAATCCCTGACTCAAGAAAGAACTAAAAATAAAAGAAAGAAAGAACAAAAAAGGAAAGAACATGAATGTAATAGTACATAAAAGAATACTTTAAAACTGTGTCATAATTCACACATTAATGTAATAAAAATTATTCCTACAAAAACTCAAAATATTGAATATATCCATAAAAAATTTAATTTATATATTCTTCATTGTACTCTTTTCTCTTGATTTTCACACACACATACACACACACAGAATCATACCACAGACATGGGAAGAGGTGTCCAATCACTCCCATTACCAGGAAAAGGAAAAACTTATTTTATAACTGGTAAAACATTTTAGCTGTCCACTTAAAATCATCCATATAAATTGTAATATATGCATTGCAACTTTTGTTTCATTCAATAGCAAGGTAAAAACAAATTTTACATGAAGTGGTGTCTTAGTCTACAAGTGGTGTTATATGAAAATATCAAGGGCAAGGTGCCTTAAAAAAACAGAAATTTATTTCTCACAGTCCTGGAGTCTTTGACTTTTTTTCAAGCTTTTATAACAAAATACCTTCAACTAGGTAATTTACAAACAGCCAATTTTATTTCTTTAGATCTAGAAACCGTGAAGTCCAAGATAAGTCATCAGCAAATCCAGTGTCTAGAATGGACCTTTTCCTCATAGATGACATCTTCTGTGTCAGAAAGGGACAAACAGCCCTCTTTGGCCTCTTTTGTAAAGACAGCAATTCCACTCATGAAACCTTGCAGACCTGCACACCACTAGACAGCCTGATATTTTAATACTGTTGCATCAGGGTTCAACATATAAATTTGAGGGTGATCTGAATATGAAAACCATAACATGGAGACCTGTAAGTTCTGGCAGTTAGTTTCTGGTGATGGTCTGTTCTTGGATTTCCCACTGTGTACCCATATGGCAGAGAGAGAAATGGAGATGTTTGGTGCCTTTTAGAGTTCTTTCAAATCAGAGATCCGTGTTGTCTCATTTAGTCTGAGTCACACTGGTGAGTCAGAGCTTCAGTGTAAGAGTTTTGAGCTCATAACAAGTTGGAATACAAGAGAAGGAAATGTATTCTAGAAAAATTTACATGTAAGATCATTGGTCATGAATCAACAGAAACACCATGGGCCAACATATAATAATGATTATATTGTATTTTATATCTGCCAGATTTATGTTTTAGATACAGCAAAGATATATATAAACTGCTGTGGCATCCTATGTAAAGTTAGGCCTATTTTTTCTGTCTTTACTTCACACCAAAATGAGTTCTTCATAAGGTCTACATGTTCCTCTGCCTTCCAAGAGTCTTAAATTGAAACTTAATCCTCAGCTGATTAGGTTATGAAGGACATGCTCTCTTGAGTAGGATTGTCCTTATAAAAAAGACCTCAGAGAGCTAGCTTTCCCCTTCCATGTAAGGATTTAGTTAGAAGATGCTGTCTGTGAGGAAAGCACTCTCCCCATAGAAAACCGATGACTTGATGTTGAACTTCCTACCTCCTGCATTGTGTGAAACATGTTTCTGTTTTAAAGGCCAACCATCAGATGGCAGCAAATGATGAAAAAAGATGTACTTCCCTACTACCCTTTCAGAAATGATTTCATTACTGGTTTTGGGAAATCTCCCCTGTATGAGACAACTATGCAAAATTTAAATGGAAATATCCTAGCATGCATTCAATCTTTTTAGAGTACACAGAGAGAGGACTGGCGAGGATGAATTTTATCTTTTTGATTGCTTCAGGCTTTTTTTTTTTCAAAATGCAGGTAACTGTGACAGATGGTGGCTCTTCTCCAAAACAATCGACCGTTTGGGTAGTGGTCCAGGTTCTGGATGAAAACGACAATAAGCCCCAGTTCCCTGAGAAGGTTTACCAGATCAAGCTACCAGAACGTGATCGAAAGAAGAGGGGCGAACCCATTTACAGGGCTTTTGCATTTGACAGAGATGAGGGCCCCAACTCAGAAATCTCCTACAGTATCATAGATGGGAATGATGATGGAAAGTTCTTTATTGACCCCAAAACCGGCATGGTTTCTTCCAGAAAGCAATTTACAGCAGGGAGTTACGACATCCTAACGGTAAGATCCTCTGAGTTCGAGCAACACTGTTGGGGTATACTTTCTTATTTATATATATTTCTTTAATAATAAATATTTACAGTAAAAAATGCAGGTAAGTAACTGTGGAAAACTTTGGCAGTAGGCAAGTAGAGATGACAATTCTTGCCTGTTTTGGTGATATTCCTAAATAATTAGTCCTAAATCACTCCTAAGGCACTGAACATGGATCTAATACTGAGGATAAGGGCAATAGTATAGTGACATATTAGACCTGTCACTCCACATATCACGCAGTGTGCTTCCAAATTTCCAAGGGAAAGCAAACTTTGCAGTTGTTGACAATGTGATAAGACATGAATTAGCTGTGTAAATTATGAGACATGAATCACAATACTGCTTATTTTGTAAAAAAAAAAAAAAAAAAAAGAAAGAAAGAAACCAAAAACTAACAGTGACTAAATTTTTTATTCAGTTAAAAAATTAAACACAAATATGAGTTCCATTTCAACTAGTAAACTGTTGCCTGTAATGTGCCCATTTGCTTTCCCACCTGAATCACTTATATAAAGTACCATCCTTCTGGTATAGGTGATGGTTCACCTTACAAGTGATGAGAACTTTCCCAGATGTTGACAACTGTCAACAGTTGGTGCCATCCACCACTCTTGTCTATGCTCTAATCTTTGTCTTCTGTATATAATCAGTCCTCTATTATATTAAAGGATGGTTTGAGTCCTTTGACGTGTTTTTTAATTCCTGTAATTGTGTTCTTTTCCCTGCTCAGGAACATGCCTAGAACATTATAGACAGAGTCAAGAAGTTCAGTCATACACCTAATCCTTATAACTAACCCTGAACCTCACCTCTGTGATGACACTTGGAAGAGTATAAGGGTCACTCTGAATCTCTATTCATGTCTGAATGATGTGCATGGAAAAGTGTGGTAGGGAGCAAATCTGTGACACTTGTTTGGAGGTTTTTGAGGGTGGGACAAGCTATGATAGGTCCTGTTGGTGCCCAGCGTGGATCCCCTCTACCAGACTTGTCCATCTGTCCTCTGCCTGCTGTGAATGTTGGCTGCTAAGGGCTCACAGATGCCCTTTTATCTATAGGAGATTATTGGCTGAAGACACATTATAATTCCATTTCCAGTCTAGGAGTCCACAAACAATATATGACTTACGGCTGAATACAAAGCTCCAACCCTCATTGCCTCAGGTTCATATCACAGAATGCTATCACAGTTTCAGTAAATCATGATTCAGATTTGGCCTGTCTCACCCCAGAGTCAGCTAGGATCACATCCTAGGATAGACCTTGGGAGCCAACCTTTAAATTCCTTGAAAGAAAGCAAGCAAGCATGCCACTAGAGCAGCTAGTGATTACCCCTGCCCATTTGGACATCATTTCCTTTCTCCTAAGAGCTCCTCCTTCAACACCAATTTGTATTCAAATTGTAGGCTTTCTGACTCAAGAAATGTATCTTTTAGGACTCTATTCTGTGGACATTTTCTGGCACAAAATGATCCTTTATGAATATATAGCATGAGGATGCTATAAGTTGTTGCGCTTTTCAAAGACAATCACTATTGGTTCTATACCCATAAATTTTACTTTGCAAATGTGATATTTTAAAATTAAATAATATTTATGTATTTTTAGTTTTGTTTCAGTGTTTTCTGCTCTTTGGAATTTTTGACCCATCTATTTGATTCCAGGACACCATAGCTGTTCACCCTAGCTAGCTGAGGAGACTTGCTTTTCTCAGCCATTATAGCAGCCAACTCTGGACCTTGAAGAACTCATTAACATCATCCTCAACCACCACACTCCCTCCAGGAACCCATGCTGCTACTAAGACAGTTCTTCTTCACCCCTTCATGCCTGGTTTAGCTGGAAAGACTTAGAGGCAGTTGGCCCAAAGTACTGTTTCCCTTGCTTGTACCCATCACCTTTCAGGGAACTATGTAAGTGGGGTGCACCTCCAGCATAAAGCAGAATGAAAAGCTGCAAAACACACATGCATACATGCACACATACACACTCACACACACATAAATCACTGAAACATGACTCTGTATTTCAAGTGTCACCATCAGAAGTGAGATCCAGAGTCATGCTGTAAGAAATCAAATTAGCTATTCCTATTCATGTAAACTGTGTAATTCATGTGTATAAAACATGACAGATTGTGCATGCAGCATCTGTTTTCAAAGGTTTCCATATCTATAAAGTCAGTGATGGCTCAGATTAGCTTCTGGCAAATGTGGAACCTTAACCCCAACTAGATTGTGTCCCCAGCATTCTACGATCCGGTCTTTCCGAATCTCTATTCTTCTCTTTCCCTTGTCAGCACTGTGCTCAGGATAGACTAGATGGAACACAATGCAAATGACAGCATAAGCTTGTGCAGACTGAGTCCTAAGACATCTTTCTGTGCTCTTTCTGTTTGGGAGTAGATAAAGGCCGTGGACAATGGCCGCCCGCAGAAATTCTCCACAGCTCGCCTCCACATTGAATGGATTAAGAAACCACCCCCTTCACCTGTCCCACTGACCTTCGATGAGCCGTTTTATAACTTCACAGTAATGGAAAGTGATAGAGTGACCGAGATTGTGGGGGTGGTATCTGTGCAGCCAGCCAACACCCCTCTATGGTTTGACATAGTCGGTAAGTTTAAGTCCTCTGGAGGTATATGGGGATGTAGTAAACTTTTGTAGCAACTAGCCATAGGGGGTAAAAGGAAAAGAAAAAGCAGGCAAACAACAGCAAAAAAAAAAAAATCATAACAATTACTGCTAAGATTAAAAAATATAAAGCGCTGGAATGCAAAAGAGCCAGTAAAATGAATAATCGACCTGTGCTTTCGTTCCAACTCTGTAGCTAAGCTGAACAGAAAGTGCTCTCTGGCTGGATTTTCCATAGTATGTTATTTACTGCAATCTTAATGTCTTTCTGTGTGTCATTTAAATTCTATTGTCACACTTGGCTAATCTCATTTCTAAATGTATTGATGGTACTAGACTTGCTGTCCTTCATTTCTCTCTTTTTCTTCACCTTTTTTCTGCATTCTGTTCTTTTTTTTCTGCTCCCGACTGCCCTGCTTCAAGGTGGCAAGCATGCTCGAGAGATGTTCTATATTCTACAGACAGCTTGTGGGCAGAACTGTTCAACAGAAGGTACCCTTAGTGCAAACACATTTGCTAAAATACAGCTATCCAATCTGCCTTTTATGGTTTTTTTTCTGAAGCAAATTGAATTACATCTTTCATAACTGCCTGTGACAGGCTGAAGTGCAGCCCACAGATTTCATACATGCCTCTAACGCTATTGCATTACTCGTATCCAATGACTCCTTTGTTTGAGGTTTGGTTGGGGTTTGGGGGGTTGTTTTGATTTTTTTTCTTTTCTTTTGAGGTACGTGAGTTTTTTGTTGTTTCATTTTTATCTTTTCATAAGTTGGTTTATTTAACTGAGCCTTTTTCCATTTGAAAAGTAAATTAAAACGTATTCCAGCCCCTGTTTTACAGCACTGGTGCCACTGATAGACCAAAAAGCCCCATCACAAGAGTCCCCTGGCTGCTGTCCACAAAAAGAAAGGAAGGGAATGGAACATAGATATACAGCCAGTAAGCCTCCTGCACAAGCTGAATAGAGAAAGCAGATGGAGGTGTGCAGGATAGACCTTGGGAGCCAACCTTTAAATTCCTTGAAAGAAAGCAAGCAAGCATGCCAGACTGCAAAAAAGAAAAGGCTCAATAGCACTGCGGCCCTCCACACACCGGCAAGGAGAGGCACTGGAGAGGAAATGAGCACCCAGGAGTGGGAAAGAAAATAGGCTTTTGCTAAGAGGAGAGAGCAGAGAGTACGCTTGCCCTGATCTGACACTGGGTTGAGCCTAAGCTGACTTCCCACGCTTCTCTGTGGGAGGCAGAGAATCCAAAGAGAGTTGATCTGGGGGAATCATTTCCTTCCACATGTCACTGCCTGAACAGGATGGGCAGGAAGCTGCCTGTCCTCCAGGATGGCTGGGTCTGGGGAAAGGATTAGGATGCTCCACATCTGTTTTAATGAGGTACCAAAAAAGAATGTACCATGGCTCCAGATCAAACCTCAGTAGAGTCTTCTGAACTCCCAAAAAGAAAAAGGCTTTCTTTCTACATATTTTATGCAATGATGGTGGAACACCTTGATTTTACTTAATTGGCATTAAACACACCATTTACATACATGTCCATCTCGATACAGAGTTTTCCATTTATTCTTCATCTCTGTTTAACACATTTGAAATAGAACCTCTTCTGCTTCATGGAGGATGTCTCTCCTACTTTATCTTCACTGTAATTCTCACTTCAAGATATTGCCCAAAGCAGTTTCTTCTTTGCATATATCACCTCACCTACTTGTATATGTAGCTACCTGTTATAATTTCTCTACTTCTACCATAGTGAAATGCATTTCAGTCTTACCATATTTGCCTGGTTTCAGGTCTCCAGGAATATGTGCAATAGCATTTTTCGATGTAGATCAAAGAGTACAGTAGGAACAGACATGTGCTGTCCTGAGAGATAGAATGAGTGGCCCTCTCTCGTTAACTATGGATTTATCTCCCTCTTTTTTCACACTCCAGTTTGCCCATACCTCCACTGTCTGACAGTGCCTGTTTTCTCCTTGGTATGATCTATATATAAAACCCCCTGACCCACGGCAATTCTACCTACCACCTACATATTCTGAGATATTCATGCTTGTATTCTACTTCAGAAATCTTAAGCACACCTTTCTCTAATACTATCTAACCAGCCATCTGCTAGGAGTCAGCCAGATCTAGTTGGCATTTCATCAGCATTCCTCCTTGTCTGTTTGTGTGTAAATAAACATGCCCAATAGGGATGCATGCGACCTTACTTGCAAGTTTTCATGTGAGCATTTTTGGTGCTATTGTATGTTTCATCTATTTGTCCTGTTTCTATTCTTAATCCTTAGTGTCAAAGTCAGAGTCCTCCTCATTCCTTTCTCCTGCATATGCTTCTGGTGCTATCTCCCAAGGTGATGGATGGGAAATATCCCAGGAAGTCAATATGTTTATACTACTGATACCTCCTGAGATGAATGCAAGATGAGTGAGATCATCCACTGTACTCCTAGCAACAGCAAGCTTAGAGTATTTGACAAAATGATGACATCATTTTGACTACCCCAAGAAGAGAGTTCTAGCTTAGAAAATTAGATCTTTCATGGAAGACTTTGGGCTGTCCAGATAAATCCAGAAAACATTATCCAAGACAGAGCATTAGTTTTCCTAGTTTTTCATCTCTCAGTTTTGTTTCTTCATCTCTGTGTTCTAAGTGCTCCACTCCTCTACAACCCTGCAGTCTCAAGGAACTGAACGGTTCTTGAAATGAGTACTTGCAGGATTATCCCTCTGGTCTGGTTGCTCCCATCAGAGACTTCACTGTAAGTCTGGTGATATGTCACTCCTTTTACAAACTGAGCTTACTGGGACAGATGCCCAAACAGAACTTGATTTTATTTCCATCCCCACATCCAGCCAACAATATCTTGAAAAGCCAACTCTTTATTTCATTGTAGAAGTGAAATCTTTCCCCAGATGCTGGTTGCTTTCAGTGTTGATATGGTCTTCCTTTCACCAAATCCCCCTTTTGAAAATCTCGCTAATCTGTCAGAAGCATTGCTTTTTCCATCATCTTTTCCCTGCTCTAAACATCTATTGTTTTCTTGATCATATCCAGATGTCTCATACTTGTTTCAAGATTTCTTGCTTATTTGTCTTCAGTCATGGAAACTTTGATCTCTTTCTTCACTTACTCCTTACCTAAGCATCTTTTTTGACCAAACTAACACAGGGAGAGAACAGTGCCACTTAGTGCTTCAGAGAGCAATATACCATGGGCAAATGGAAATAAAAAGCACAAATGTAATGTCAGCATAAATCTGAAATGAAGTTTCAAGTTAATGTTTAGCTCCTGCTCCAAAAACGGTCTTATGATTCTTCCAAAAGGAGTCAACATTTGTTCCTTTTATAGGCCTGATACATTCAGACACCTATATAGACCCTGAGATACAGAGTATATAGCATTCTGGTCCAGTGCTGGCAGTACACAAATACTTTAACTAATGAATTCTCAGTAAGTACACAGAAGTACTGTTTCAGCGTGCTTTACCACTGAGAGTGTGATCTCATTTTCCCATTTTCAAATGTACCTGATTCTAACTTAACTCTAATTTTTTCTCCAATCATGATATGAATTCACAAAATTGATATGATGAGCAAGACTTTGTTCCTAAGGCCTTGACTTTTATACACATTGTGTGCCAGACATTTTCTCTTGCCTCTAAAGCAACTGTGGCTTACACTGTTACATAGCCAGACTTTCTTTACCTTCCAGAAACAGAAGTCCTACATGTAACTGAGCTGAGAAAGTTGTAATTAAAAAGAAGCATAATAAAGTTCAGCTGTTCTGTTTAAACAGCCCAACGCACAGCATGTTCCTTCTCTGTGTTAAAAGAAAAAGAAAATTAAGAGAACAAAAATAACCCACAATCCTTTGTGCCTTTATCACATATCTTCACACTTCTCAGGAGACTATGATTTCAACTCAACAGCTCCTTGATTTACATACTTTCCAGTGTGCACACAATCTGGTTCACAGTTCAGTCCCTGAATCTTCATCCTGATGGCAAACATTTGAATTGTAAAGGCCACCATTATTACATATTTCAAACAATTCTTCTATATCCACAATTTGATGGGGGATACTCCATTCATTTTTTAGTTTCTCACCCAAATTAGAATAGAAAAAAATGCTTTCCCTTGTATATAATAAGAAGCTAAAATGTCCTTGTCTTACTCAGTATATAGAGGCAAAAAGCTATTCTTTGAAAATAATTCACCAATAGTGCTAGGACATAGGTCCAGCATTAGCAGGATTATCTTTCTGTGTTATAGATACGTAAAGGATACCATAAGCCTCAGTTTATTGCATATTCTTGCAAACTTTGGACGGTGGGCTTTTGTTGTATCATAAGCATTTGCCTGCCTTCTTGAGTCCTACCTGCCACAGAGCTACGGCTGATTTAGAATTAGACCAAGTAGGCAAGTTGAACTCCAATAGCACTAGTAGTGACCTTATTCTCTTCCTAGACCTTAAGCATCCCGGTCTTTCCTAAACACATGACTATATTTAAAAAATCTTCATCACAAAACTCTCACTCACATCTCCTGTGAGAAGCCATGTTCATTTCTAAGACAACTGTTCTTCCCCCTAGCTGACTTCCACTCAGTCATTCAACTAATATTTAGCACTTTATTTCTCATACTCAGCCCTGTTTCCATAATGCGATCCCATAGAGGACTCTCTTTTCTCTGTCTCACCCATAGAAGCACATGTGAAAAAACTTCAGAAAAAGTTAAAATCCTGGAAACATTTCATGTATTAATTGCATGAAGAAATTGAACGCTAAGCCCGATTCTAAAAGGAATTTTCCTTTCCGTGCTGTTTTCTGACCTCCACCTGGTGTCAGGAAGCTTTCTGGGGAAGTATCTTTTTCAGCCTGGTACTATGCTTGCTTTATTCCAAGGCAGAAAACTATTCATGATCACATCGTAGCTGTTTAACGTTTCTCCCGAAGTTTGGTGTACGTGCTGAACTTGAACAAACAGCTTATGTATGACTCCCTTAATTTATTGAGATTCAGCCTCTCAATGTTTTGGAAGATTCTCCTTCCTTGATGACTACTAGATTTAGGATGATATTTTTGAATCTACACATACAGAGGAATGGAGTCATGTGTTAGGAAAGCTTCTCTAATGGAGAGGTGTGGGATTTTCATCATTCAGCCCTTTATGGAGAGATGGTGGTGCTTCTAAACATTTCTAAAAATCCTTGACTTAATCATGGCCCAATGCCCTGTAATCTGGAGCCTTCAAGCAATAGCTCTTGGCTCAAAGTATTTTCATTCATGTCCTATTTTAAAGTCTTTTTTAGGCCATCCCTACTTGCTATATTTAACTTTAGAATCCAGTAGAAATCCAGTGTACCTCTGGTTCTTTTTTATTCTATTATACCTGCCTTGACCAAAAATGGTCAAAAAGAGATGTCCCTAATGTCAGTTACCTGCTATGTGGGCTGTTCACAACCTTGCTTTTAACCATTTCTGCCGCACACCCCTGCAGCAATGCTCAGGCTGTGACATTTCTAATTTCCCACTTTGTGAAACTCGAACCAGCTCTGCAGTGTCTTCCCCTCCCCCACCTTTTATTTAGCCTCGCTGTTGCACCAAACACACTGGCTTTGCATGTTCTGTTACTGGCTCTGAGGAAGCACATCTTGTTTAAACAGAATGCCTCGAGTGAAATGGACTCCTTGCATTGGGTATTTTTACCCCCAGATGATTTGGACATAGTTTCCTACAAAAATGGAATCACCTTTCAGGCTTAAATGGGAGCCTGAAAAATGAGACCTGGGGGAGAAATATGGAGTCATTTATGAAATGGGATGCTTAAGTGTAGGTTATTAAATTGTGTGAGGGTTGATGGTGAACTGCTGGTCTAGATTCTGTGTCCTTTGTCAGAAATTCATTTGAAAACTCAAGGCAGATCTTGTTTTACATGAAATCTTTACTTAACTGGGAGCAAATGTCCTAGAAATGAGTATCAGATACTGCTGGCCATATTGATAGACTGAGAAATACTCAGGAGACTCTCAAGGGCTATCTCCGCTCCTTCTTTTAAGGGTTTCCAGTCTGGAGTTTTGAAACAGCAAAGGTGAATGAAGAAGACCCAAGAGCATACACCACACACACACACACACACACACACACACACACACACAGAAACACAGATAGAGAGAAAAACAGGAAAAAAGAGAACTGCAAAAAATAATAGCCATAAAAGTTGCCAAAAATGTAATTTGATACAAAAAAGACTAAGAAATAGAACACAATCTGTATGACATATGTAAAACATGAATTTTATACCATTATGTTATTTGGAATGGTTGTGTTTTTGTGTGTAGTGTTCTGAGGAATACGCAAATCTTAGGGAACAGCAGCATATAAGACATTGTCATTTAAGCAATAACTGGAACTAGAAATATTTTCTTCTTTGTTCTCCAAGTTTTATTTTATTTGGTCTTTAAACAGGCTTTATAATTTTGCCTTGACCTATGTATTTTTACTTTGCAAAATAACAGTAGAGGATGATCGTTTCCCTCACCAAAATAATAAATAAATTAATAATAATAATAATAATAAGGCTTTAGATTTAAGAAAGCAAACATCGTATATAAAAATATTCTGAAGGTGATTTAAGTGTGCTTTAATACCTATTAGAAGCAGCGGTAGAGGTTGATTCCTCATCTTTTCTTCCTCCCAAGTTTTATGAGACAATGTTATGTGCTTCTTTGGAACGTTTCCATGGCAAACTTTTTTCAGAATCTACCACTTGATAGCAGATAATTTTTCTTTATCCATTAAAACTGTTATGCCAGACACTTTAACCAGCCTTTCATTTTATTTCCTGTGCTTATTAACATAAAACTTTCTGCTCGAATAAGAAGCAGTGTCCTAAGCTCACTTCTTTTTTCAACCTAAACTCTCTGCCCACTTTTACTTATTGTAGTCTTCAAAACATTTCTTGAGTTAGTGTTTAGTGCTTCTCAGTACATCAATTAAAGATATTAATTGCATGATGAATCTCTTCTTAGTTGAAATTTTTGAAAAGTGTGTCATTTCTTAGCAGTTCTCTGATACCTTATATTTTCATAACTTTAATTAAATGTCAAGGACAATTATGTTCTCTCTGGCAATTAAATAATCTTAAGTGTATATGACAGCTGCAAGCAATAGGTATTTGAAATATATACCACCATCTTTTTAAAGTAAGCCATTTCATTTATTTTGTGTCAGTACATCAAATTCTAGTAATTCAAGTAGAATTCTTTCTCTTAACTCATACTCATTTATAATTTTAATATCATACAAGTGAATTATTCATTGATCAGCAAAAAGAAATGCAAAGAATGTAGAATGTAAAAAGACTCTGGTTTGCTTTTCTAAAATATGAAATTCAATAAATAAATTGCCCAATGTGCTATAGGTAAATAAAATTATCCAAGAACAAAATTAGCTAACAGCTTGAAAGTAAATAGAGCTTGAAACATATACCAATATAATTAGCCCACAATTAAACCTGTCTCGGTATTTTACCATTATCTTTTCTCCTCCTTAATTTTTTTTTCCGTTTTGGAAAGATTGTAAACTGCACTTTGGCTCACAGAAATGAAAGCATGGGTAGGAATTTGAACATTGCAAGTGTTGTTTTAATCAAATCATTAACAACCTGTAAGTGATAGCTGGCCCAAAGGAGAGAAAAGAAAAGTTTTCTAAACTGTTATATAAATTGTTTATTAGTTAGTGCAAAATAAAACAGTGTTTCTCTTGCTTCTTTCCCAACTTGTAAATTCCTCATAAACTTTCTATTATTTCAGAAGAAAGTTAATTCACACTGTCAAGATGGCAAAAACATATTACTATAGACATCTCAATGTGCAGATAAAGATTTTTATATAAAATTCATGTTTTACTTTTTTTAAATTTTTCAACAGTCATAATTTTATTTCTGACATTTAACTGAGGGAATCTGAAGTCTACCAGTCAAATGTTTACCATCAATCCTAGAACAAATGTAAAGTATCTGCTCATTTCTGTCAGTAATAATTGGACTATTTGTTAACTTAGAACTTAGTCTGCTTTGAAAAAACAAAAGGACCTTCAAATTCATAGCACAGAAGCTACAAGGGACTGAAGGGTCATTAGCTTTCTGAATATTTTATGGAGTCAGTTTATGCTTCACTATTCCAACATTATTGCTGGGATTTTTCTTTGCAATACATTCTTTTTGTGGTATTTGTTATGCATTGTAGAGGCTGTATTTTGAAATATGAATTAAGTTAGAAATAAAGACTCTCAAGAGGTATAAATTGAAACAGGGGTGGGTGCCTGTCACAAAATATTTTTATGTAAGAGTTCCCTTTAAATATATGTGCTTCAGTATCTGTGATAAGTTCTCAGACGTACTAATTTCATGTTGTTTCTGTGAAATCATCAGGGGGGAATTTTGACAGCTCTTTTGATGCAGAGAAGGGTGTTGGTACAATTGTCATCGCAAAACCTTTGGATGCAGAGCAGAGGTCTGTGTATAACATGACTGTGGAAGTCACCGATGGGACAAATGTTGCTGTCACTCAGGTAAGAAGTTACTGAATATCAGAATGTAGAAAGATCTGCTAAAGTCAAAATTACAAGCAATAAAAAACAGTATCTAGTAAGTAGTAAAAAATGTCCATAGATTTATAGTGTTCAAAGAGCAACACGGAAAAAATATTCTGTCTAGGTATTTATAACTTAGCTGCCTCTTTCAAGAAATTGTGATTGTGGTGGAAGAATGGATATGTGTCTGTGTCTTCATCTTTTACTATCAACTTGTCTCTGACAACTTTTCTTGAGTTTTCAAAGAGAAAGATATCTATATTGTCTTCATGACACACTGTAAGATTCTCTACTTCCTCATTTTTTCTCCTCAATTTGTTTAGTCACCAAAAGTTAAAACTAGAGAATATTGAGTCCAGGTTCATTTTATCAACAATGGTGGAAATGTTCCATCTAACATTGTACAGCCTTAATAAAGAATAAGAACTGGAATCTACATATCCTGCCCTCCCATTCTAGGCTCTATGCTAGTGGCTCTTTATTCTGGCTGTACAGTGCAATCACCCGACTGGAAGGGGAGGGGTGGGCTCAAAATACTCATGTCTTGCCCCCCTGCTGCGGAACTTCCTGATGCTAATATGTGGCTTAGCTTGGGGTTTTCTTCTTGAGTGCACATTAAGGAGCATTCAGAGCCGAAAGCACAGAAAGGTTTCTGGCATCTTCTACTGCTCAGTTCATCTTCCACAGTGAGACCAACACAATTCTAGACATTAATATGAGACAGATTTGCCTTAACTATAAGATGTTTTGTTTTATTTTTTAACCAGAGACCTATGGAGCCCAGTTCTGACAGAGAACTGGCATGCACATCTCTCCTTTTCTCTTCCTCTTGCTTCTCTCTCATGTGCTTGTGATCCCAGAAGGCATCACTAACTGAGCAGGGCTCTTTTCCTTCTCGACCCTAGAAGTGCCCTCAGACTCTTTTTCAATGCAGTGCTTCAGGTAGTAAGAATGAATTTTTGCCAACCTGGAAGAAAGCAAGTGGTGATTTATTTTAAATATGATATAAACTTTTATAACTAAGCAGTTTTGCAAAAGAGAGGAGGGTATTTCATGTGTTTTTTTAGCCAACAGCTTCTTAACCTTGAAACTGTTTCAAAAATATGTGGCTTTTTCCTTTGAGTCTATTTGTAACTATAGAATGAGCAGACTTTAAAGGAAAAAATAGGGTTCATTTTAGGGTGGTCCCCTTAGTTTTCTTTCAAATATACCCCCATAAGGAAAATGACTTGTATATAATAAAGTAGCCTGTATGTAATATTTCTTGGTCCTCCAACGTGTGTCCCCTCTTGGTTACCAGGGTGACCACATGACCCTATTTGCTTTAAATAGTCCCATTTACACCTGTCGCATTAGTGTAAGTATTAATAGTATTCATTTACACTCAGAATTGCCCCTACTGAGACAATAAATTATATGGTCTTCTGTAAAACCATACAGCTTGGGATATTTTTAAGATTAATACCTATACACATAGAAAGGACCTTACGGTTAAAATCCTAAGGGACCTGCATGGTCTAAAAGTATGTTCTAAAGAATAATATAACACAACCCACCTATAGTATAGTAAAGTTGTTAGTGTTAATTCTCTCTAAATGTGAATTTAAATTGGGTTTTTAAATTAGCCACTTCTTAACATATCCAACCTTTATTTTTTAATTCTACTTAAAATCTCAAAGTGTATTTGAGTAAAATACAAATAAAGCATGGAATCACAGTCATTTTTAGACTTTTTTTCCAGGGTTTTATACCTGTTCAATTAAGTATTCAGTATTCCCAAAATGTTATAGATACTTGTTAAATATTTTTAGGATGAATATTAGCATATTCAGCATATCCTAGATGGAATGTTGGATCTCTAAAGCACATACCTGATTAGTGTTAACCAAAGAAAGAGAGAAAGAGCTTTTAGAGCTTCATTAGGACAAGATGAGAAATCATTTAACATCATTTATTCTGCAAATATTTTTGAACTTTAAACTAATGGCTAGGTGTTGTATTAGGTGGTTACAGTAACAGAATTTTGTGGATATTTTTATTTGGTTTGGTTTTAGTTTTGTTTTTTTGTCTCTGGTTTCAGCATTGCTTGTTTGCTTGTTTTTGAGACAGATTCTCACTATGTTGCCCAGGCAAGCTTTAAACTTCTAGGCTTAAGAGATCCTCTTGCCCCATTCTTCTGCATAGCCAAGATGATAGATATTTGCTACTATGCAAACGATGCTAAGTTTTCAGTCCAGATGACTGATATGCCTTATTTTTTATAAAAAACTAATATGCAATCATGTATGACAAGACTTTGAATGGATGCATTGTTTGAGTTCAGTGTTTGTTGATTAGATTTAGACTGATATCTAGGATAATTCTGGAGTTTGGTTATTCATGTGAACTCATAGGTCCTCCTTGAATGGGTCTGTCTTAGTTACTTTTCTCTTATTCCTGAGATAAAATATCTGATGTCCAAAGTTAAGAGAGGAATGTTTATCTGGCTCACAAAGATTTCAACCCTAATTGGCTGCCTTCAAGGCAGTGTGGCATATGGCAGAGAGTAGAGTTCATGGATTCCACAAGATAGCAAAAGCAACAAGCGGATGGCGAGAAGACTCTTTCTGGCCCTTACATTGTACCCAGGCTACCCACTTCAGGGAGGTGTAGCACTCATACCCTTAGTCCTACCCAGAACTATGTCAAACCAATCCATAGACTGATTTACTAATCACACACCCTTAATCCCAGTAGATTCAGCCTCCTCTGAAACATCTGCTTCATGACTGCATGAGTCTTTAGGAGCACATCTAGACACAAAGCATAACAGAGTCAAACTAGGAAGTTAGTAAAGGGTGTCAAGAGATTTCTTTGCAAAAGTATTTCCATCAAGCTGTGTTTCTACAGCTAATTCTTTCTTATGGAATAAGAACCAAAAGTTTCCAAAGTATAAATTCTTTAACAAAAATTACATTATTATCATCAAAAAACCATCACTCTGTCAACTCAAGCTGTGTTAGGCCCAAGTACTCCACCAATCTCTACCAATTAAGGCCTCTCTCACATTTACCAAAGCCTCCCTGGCAGTGGTGACAAGAAAGGCTCTCTGAATCAGTTAACATTTTTAGTGTCAGGGACATTATAACAAAAGGATGTTTGAGAAATAAAAGGCATTCTGTATTTCTTTTAGAAACCATTTATGCATGCTCCAATCCTTGACCTTAAGCAACTTAATGATTTCACTATCAAACAGATATCCTTCTCCACATAACTAAATAAATGTCCTATAGCCCAAAGACACCTGTTCAGTATTCCTTTGAGAACTTTTCTCTCCTTTGTTCATTTAGGATCATAAAACACGGTATGACACAAGCTTCAAATCGGCCATAAACAACATGTTGAATTTTACTTCACAAATTTCAAATAAATCAGAGCCTCAGGGATTCAGTGTCTACATGTAAACCCTATCTTCATCTTCATTGTGCCCTGTTCTCCCAACTTTCATAGGATTCTTGTACTTCAGAGCTACAAACTCTGAAAATACATAAATATCTTTTTTCTTTACTATAAAGTACAGAATATAAAAAGGAGCTGTGAGTTTCAAGTTACAAAGATTTCATAAGAAGTAAAGGAAAGAACAAAGCCTCCCAACATTTACAAAAACCTCTAATGAGATGGGCAAAGATGTCTGCATAAAAGTGTTTTTACTTTGTGTAGGATGTTAGTGTGTGTTTTCTAATATAGCACAGAACCAAATTGGTCCCCAGGTTGATGTCTTAAAAGTTCAGACACAAGCAAAGTTTTCTGGCTTAGAGGAGAAAGATGAAAAGGAGGTGATACAGTCTATACTGTTGTTGAAGAGATGAAGAGTAATGAGAAGCACTGGCTGGTGGAAGTTACTTCCTTCTCCCAAGGATACAAGCAGAACCAGAGGCTCAAGAAGAGCAGAAATAATGAAGTTCCAAGAAGGATGTGCCCACCTTCTCTCCAAACACAAATGAGCACTGCAAAAAAAATATGTTAGAGGAATTCTATGCCTACTTTCCAGACTATGATTATTACATATAATTTGGCATGGTAAAGAAACAGTATTCCTTGTGGAAATAATGAATTCCAGGCTTAGGGTAGGAGCCTGGGTAATTTATCCTACCAGGGATTACTAGTGGAATCATGTTACAGGGTGATAAGACGCTATTTGAATTGGCTTCTATGAGACAAGGTGGAGAAGTTGTTTATAACTTAGTTACTTTATGAGTTGGGTATTATTTGTTGTATGCAGAATTGTCTTCCTCCGTCTCTGTGAGATGTCTACATCCTAATCTTTGGAACTTTCATGTTATGCTACATGTCAAAAGGAACATTGAAAATGTAATTAAGGTTACACATACTAAAGCAGAACGTGCATCCTGGACTATCCAGATTCCAGATGGCAGCCAGGATTTACCTCAGCAGCATAAGCGCCTGCCTGGCCAGGGCAAGGTTGCAAGTTCAATCTCTGGTACCAAAACAACAACAACAACAACAACAAAAACAGATTCCAGATGGGCACCATCTAATTATAGAAGCCCTGAAGCAGTTAATTGTCTCAAGCTAGAGTGAGAAGAACAGTAACAAAGGTAAAGTCAGAGTTTCTAAGCATGAGATATATTTGTGACATCATTAATAGCTTGAATATGAGAGGACAGCATAAAAAGGAAAACAAGTGGCTTTAGGAAACTGAGAGATTGCCCCAGCTGACAGTCAGCAAAGAAATAGGCACCCTAGTCCTGTTATCTCCAGGAACTGTACTCCTTAACAACCTGCATGAACTTGGAGCAGATTAATCCCAAGAGTGACCAGAAAGGAACATATCTGTGCCAACCTCTTGATTTTCGTCTTGACTTCTGGCCTATAGAACTATAAGATAATGATAGTGGATTTTATTTAAAATTTATATGCTTGTGGTGACTTTTTATGGGAGCAATAGGAAACTAATCCACTATTGTGATTTACAAATG